TGATATTGCGGTTTATTGTAATATCCACCGTAGATGTGATTGGGGATTGGGAATCCAATAGAATCGAAAACGTAATCCAATTGGCGGTGAATTGATGTCTAGCACGAGGCACTTTCTGGCCATGGATCTTTGTAGCCATTGGTTGTATGCGGTGCAAAATCGGTTCAGCAACCAACCCGCGGTAGTCCGGAATGGAGGTTGAATTTCCCCAAGACGGAACTGAAATCTTGACTGCGCTTTGTTGAGACATCATGTACTTCGAAGTAGCGTTACCAAATTATATACCAGTAGTAACGTAATAGTACCGGTACCAGGTGTCCACATTCTCGTAGCGAATTATAGCTCAACGGGTATTATTGTGCTTTTCATGTAGTTTGCCCGTTGTTTAAATGCGTTAAACAACCAGACGTTTAAAATAATATAAGCCCAATTGAAGATAAAACAACGCTAAACACAAGTTCTGCATTTCAGCAGAATAAAACAACCCTTACTTTATTTCAGCTGCTAACTAATCGAGTTGCAGCACCAGGCCAACTAACGCCGTACAACTACCAGTTCATCACGATGCATACCGTATTAGGCTGTTAAATGGGAGTACTATACATCGTGTAGTCGTACAGTAGTGCGCCCTTGCCTTCCACGTACAGTGCTAAGGTTAGAGCAGATCAAGAATTGTAGGTATGGCATAGCTTTGAATCATTGGACAGAGCGACGACTACATGTACTGTAGCCTAACTATATCCCAAACGTTATACACATTACTCGGAGTAGATAATGTTAGTACTGTAGTGATCACGGATGGGGGGTCATGTGTGTGGCCATAGCTCCTTCAGTTTCATTGCGTCAAGCACCTTAACATGTTGACGTAAAGCAAGTTGCTTGCCAGAATGAAAACGGCAAACAACTTGTTTTACGAAAGTGCCAGTAAAACCACCTTCAACCAACCAATCATCGCATTAGATGAAGTAACTTTAAACAACGCACCCAACCGTTATTCAAGTTACTTTAGACATTATTTAAGTCTGAGAAATTTTTAAACAATGAATTTAACCCTGGAATTGCCAAAAAAGGTGCAAAGCACAATAATAGTTGGGGGGGATAATAACTTGTGGCGTTACATTCATGTGGATGATGCTCGTACAGTGGATCCTCAATTTTTGCACTCATTCAACAAATAAGACGATTTGGACGAACTCTCAATTATGATGTAATAGAGAATTGAACGTACAAGCACGCTTTGAAGGATTCAATGTATAAGCTTCACCAAGTTATTGATGGTTCAAAGTCAAAATAGTATTTTGAAGATCAGTAATTTAGCCTTGAATACAATATTTATCGAAACAATGGGACGTATTTCTATTGTCAATATGAAACGTATTCACTACTGGTAGAGTTCATATGTCATTAGCATTGTAAATTAGTTTCGTCATGAAAAGTGTTTGGTGGCATTCTCTGATACAGTCTGATGCAAAACGTTAAGACACCTATAATTTCACCCATAACTTGATCAAATTGAAGTTGTATTGCAATGTTTTGATATCGAAATCATCGTCATGGCCCCCACAATGACCGTGACTCAAAGTTAGACCACCAACAACTCGCGGAAAAGGCAAGGGGAAAAATATCTGATTCTGATAGTGTGCAAAATGATAAGAACAAACTAAATTCGGCTCAATACTTATCAACCAAGACACAATCACCACAAAAAACAACTATTAGTAGTTAATCGGCTTTCCTGATGAATTCAAAACAGCAATACATCGGGACTTCATGCTGCGAATAAGCTTTTCCAGGTATTAAAGATCCATGGAATTCCAGTGCAACAGGAACCCCACACGTTTTCAATTGGATTGAGATCGGGGAAAGCGCGGGCCATTTCATCATGGCTATGCCATTGTCCTTGAGAAACTCGCTCATCTCTTTGGACGAGTGAATCGAGGCATTGTCGTGGTGAAAACCAACTCATAGGCAAAGCGAGC